CCTGCACAGAGAACATCCAGCCATGGAGCTGAGCTCCGGTGCCCTGTCCAGGTGAGTGTGTGGRTAAGGATGGCCAGAGCGTGTCTCGGTGTTTGCTGCTGCTTTTGACAGGGTTTGGGTTATTTACAGAAGAGCAAGGTGTAAAACTGGGCAGCACCACCCTGGGCTGTGTGTGAGAGCTGCCTGCAGGGTCATGGGGTGGGCTGGGACAGTCCAACTGCTGCCCTCCAGTTTTGTGACCTTACCCAGCCTGGAAAGGAGCTGGGGGAACGTGGGGGAGCCTCATGATCTTCCCAAAGGGCTTTTAGATCCCTCCACAGCAAGTGCTGTGCTGGGGCTGAGTACAATCAGCACTGCTGCTGCTGGGAATTCTGGTTTGGCCSCTGGACCAGTGAGTGGCCTTGTTGTGCCTGTGCTGCACGTAGTTTTGACTGGAGCTGGGAGCGGCTCCTCTGCTCTTTCATAGTTTGCCTTCTCCTTCGCACGTCTCCAGCAGGAAGTGCAGATTCAGCAGGCATTGTATGCCTCAGCAGCCTGCCAGCTGCCTCGCTGAAGCTAATTCACAATTCAAGTCACTCCTGATAAGTTTGCAAACAATGTGCAGTGATTTCTGAGCTAGATAGCAGCGGAGCCCCACTCCTCCACTTCCAGCCTGTCAGTTGGACAAAGCTCTGCACTTACYTTGGAAAGCTCACGGGTCAAACGTGGTCTCAATATTTTTGTGCTTCTGYGATGCTTCATAAACTTCTTATTTGTTTAGGAGTAGCTTTGAGTGTCATCATCATTATTGAAATCCTCAAGTGAGTGTGTGGAGACACAGAGAGGGCATATGGTTAGTGTTGGTTGAATATCAGTTAGAAATCAAACCCAGGACTTCTGACTTGCAGTTTAGCTCTTTGATCACTGGATAATTGTGTTGCCCYTTTTATAACACACTGGAATAGCCTGGGAATTTCACTGGGAATAACTCCAGTGAAAACAAGAGCTACATTTTTTTTCTTCAGCTAACTTCATGTGGCAGCCACTGGAAGTGTGCTCTGAGGAACTGGCCCAGAGGAAGCGACTCTGCACTCATGGCTCATCAGGCCTGGCAGGAAATAGCAGGTCAAAGTTAGAGGGAACTTACTTAAAAGCTAATGAGTGAGTGGTGCAACAAGCTCTGCAAGAAAGCAAGGCTCAACAGTCAGCAGGGGAGCTTGGGGTTCTGTGTCTCCATCCTTATTCCACTTCCTCTCTTCTTGTTCACATCTGTTTTAACCAGAGATATGCCAAGGTGATGATCTATCAAATGAGGATTTGTAGGTGAGACTGTGCCCTCTCCTGAACTGAGCTCAGCGACCTCTAGAAAATGGGACTGGTGCACAAAACACTCTGTTTAATATTGCTCAGTATGTTTTTATGAAGTGAAATTAAATCCTMATGACTCTATAACTCAGCTTGGCAGATACTATTTTTTTTCAGACATGTGTAAGGTCAGTAGCCACAAGTGTAGCAGCCCAGAACTGCAGGTTTTGACCATTCTGTGCAAAAATTGATACAATACAGTGGCAGAAGCAGGAATATATATTGCTCCTGCCAGATGACAGSAGTTTTTTCCTAGGTAGGCTTTGGGAAGCCCTCCTTGGTGCACTTTCTAAAGGACACGAGGTCAYATCACAAGCAGACTTATGCTTTGGAGTGTATTTGTCTCTGTGCCATGAGTTGGGTCGGGGTTCTTTTTACTCCTCCTTTAGTATTGGAATTGAAAATTCAAGTTGGAGAAATGTGAAAGCAATTGGGCCTAATCCATTCCTGTTGTTACTCCTTTTGTTTTCACTGGAGTTACTCCAAGGCTGAATTCAGCATATGATGAACAACTTGTTCTCCAAAGCTGGAACTTAGGGGAGAAGGTTTTAGGGATGATCACGCAACTCTGGGGCTCCTCAAACTGCTGAAGCTCCCACAAGAGGGACAATATATGGTGAGTTCAGGTTATTGAATTWAGTACAAAATTCTAGTAATAAGCCTTCTAGTCATAATAAGACATTATTATCCCTTAGAAGAATTACTTGAATAAAACCCAACTGCTCACTTAGATTAGATGGAAGAATCCTGTTGATCTCATTTACCAGCCAGCTGCACAGATACCAACCCTGAGCAAACACAAATGGTTTTAAGCCTGGTAATCCTCAYCCTGCTCCCTTTCCTCTTGCCTTCTCTGGGACCAGCTCCTCCAGAGTTGCTGCCCATGCAATGTTCACTGCTCTTGGTACATTGACCACCTCAGCTGCAGCCCAGGGRAGTCTCCAAAGAGGTTACAAGCCCCAGTTCTTCTTGGTTAGATGGAAAAAGGAGGGTGCTACAAGCTACAGGGAAGCTGAGTGTTACCAGCTGAGGACTAGGTGCTGTATATTTGAGTTTGAGTTTTTTTTGGTTTGTGTTTTTTTCATGGTTGAGGAGATTGCTGTTAAGAACTAAGATAAAAATCTTTACAGATCTGCAAGATGAACCAGTCCTCACTGCTGGTTAATTCCTCCTGTGTTCCTACAAGCTGTTGGAGGGGTCATGGCAGAGGCAAGATCCCCATGGTAAAATTAAGCTTTTCTTTCTTGGAGAAATAACCATTACTGTTTCTCTGGCTCACTCCRTTTCATTTACTTTCTAAACAACTTAGATCACAAAGGGCTCCAGGAGGGGTGCAGCACTTCCAAAGAAAAGGCCTGGATGACTTTCTCCAATTTAAGAGAGTCTTGTGAAAGTTGTGCTTCCTGCCCTTGCCCAGAGAAGAGGATTTATAACAGATGCTTCTGCAGCCTTCATTGTGTGTGATTTGTAAGGTGGAGGATGCACCAGTCTGGCTGTGCTTGGGAGGCCTGGACAGCTTTCTGCTGAACCACGAGTCCTGGCTGGTGAAGAACCCTTCACTTTTAAAACCAAAATTAAACARCTTCCAGTCTTACTTGTCTTGACCTGTTTCTCTCCACAGCAGAAAACGCATCACTAATAAGCTTGTCAGGGTAATGGTCAATGAGATGTTGTTTCACTTAGATCTGAGGAGATTTGAGGGAGAAGGCAGAAAATTTGATGTATTCYACATAGTTACTGACCCCAAGGTGAGTGGAGCAAACACCAGGTAGCCAAGAAAAACAGAAAGAAAAGTTAAAATCTTACAAACCACAGCACAGAGGGATTATCACGCCAAGCTTTGGTTAAAGTTCACATGATAAAAAGGATTTTTGTATCCAGGAACTGCAGCTCCTGCTGTTTGTCTGCCATTCTGCTCCAAGACATCATCACTTCCCCAAATTTACTCARCCATCAAAAGGGCTGTAATTTGGACCAAGACTCCAACCCTCAATCAGTTTTTTACCCAGCCTAAGCACAGGGCAGGAGGGGGTGGATTTTCCCTTCCGTGGTTGCATTTCTGAAGGGCTCACAAACACGATGTAAATGTCTGGATTTACACAGCAGGGATTTGATGAGAGTTCAAAGGTGGGATGTGCTCGGCCTCCTGGTKTGCAAACCTTGCCTTCTCTGAGAGTCCAGCACCAGGTAAGACTCTAGGCTTGTGCCTCCAGCCCTGCTGGGCTCTTATTTTGTCTCCTATTTGGATCTTTGCTTTGCTTCCCTTCCAGCACTTGGCTCTAGGAGCTGATGCATCTCGTGTTTCACTTTGAAACTCTCTGTTCCTACTAGCTGTGGAGTCACCTGGGAATTGCAGATCCTAAGAGTTTAGAAGCTAGAAGATATATTAAAAAAAAGTCTTAAAAATCTGTATTGTCTYAATTCCCAGAGGAGGTGGATTGTCCTTGAACACTCTGGTTGGGTACTCAGCCCATTTCTCTTGTAAGCTAAAAYTTCATTTATTTTGCCCTATGAAATAATTGCCCAAGGACTTTTTTCTATTCCCAGGTAGTAGCAATGCCTGTGGAGAAAGACTGACTGCTTCTTAAAAAGTTGTCAGCTCTGGGTAGAGGACACAGACAGGCAGCCTGGTGTGGGGAGTTGGTAGGGATGTTTTGGATTAATTATTACATGACTTTACACTGTATTCATTTGATTCAGGCATGAACTTTACTGAAGCAGGGAATTTTGGGTTCTGGGTTCAGCTGTGAGAGCTGAAGATCACATTCCAGATGGGCATCCACATTTTTCCTTGTAGAAAACCCCAGTTTAATTTTGACCATCAAGGCACTGTTTTTTTTTTTTTCTTTGATGCTCTCCCAGAGTTCCATAAATGCTCCCTGTGACCTGTTTGGGGGCTGCTGGTCAGACCTGTCTGCAGACACCACCARACCTGAGAGCACTTAGGAGCACATCAGAGCCAGGCCCCGGTGAGTGCTGCAGATTTCATCATTTTTTGTTCCCTTGAATTTTGCTGTAGTGTATGGCTGTACTTCAAGACTTTCAAGAGCTGCTTCTCTAATCTCCCCAGCAGGATTACTGCCGCTGGAAATCATGAGGGCTTGGAGCAGCTATCAACTTTATCAGGAAAGCTTCTTTCCGGCCAAGCCAGTAAGAGCTTTGCTAAGCGGGAATCTTGGGTTGAAGCTGCTCTTCTCATATTTCACAGATGGCCTCAATGAATGATTTACTAGGAGAGTAAAAGATTAGCCAGATTCCTCCAACTGCATCTCAAGTCATATAAAGCGCTGGGTTTTATTGGAGCCTGGGCAATTCCTAATTCTTTAGCCTCGTTAGAGTGTTTTACAGTGACTAATTGCCCTGTGCTCCYTTCCCTGGGAATCAGGTGTCTCCTGGGAGGGATCCACGCTCCCCACACGAGCCTCGCCCGTGCCCTGGAGCAGCGGTGCCAGTGGAGGCTGCTCCACGTGGGCAGATACCCAATGGCCTCAGGATGGGATGTCTCCAGCTTTATTTTACTGGAGAGGCTCTGGGAGAGAGATGGTAAAGGGAATTCTTAAAATATGCAATGAGGTGTTCCCATAAAATTATCAAAAGCTTTGCAGGATCTTCCTGTGGAGAAAACCATCACCGCAGAGTTCAAGTGAACAGTGGTTTGGGAAGGGCAAAGCCTCTTGATTTAATATTTTAACTTGTCTCCAAGGCTTGGATGAGCTCTTCTGGGGGAAGGGAGATTACCCCATGTTTGCCTGTTATAGAGTTTCTCACATTTTTCTCCTTTACACTTGGCAACCAGAACTCTGTATCTGTCTCTCTATGGCAATTTCTACAGAGTCTGGCTGCTTTAAAAGACTACAGTACTGATTTAAACATCCAAATTGAAAAAGCAGGGTTTAAAGTGGACCTACTTTTTCCTTTGGAGTGTGAAATCTTGTTAAAGATCTTTTTTCCCTTTGGAGTGCGACTTGTTAAAGATCTGTGCTAAATTATTTACAAGGGGTCTCACAAGATGAACAAATCTTTGCATTTAATCATTTTCCTGACTTTCATTGTGCTTTTCTCTCCTGTCCACTAAATCAAAACACAATCACAGGAGCACTAAAGGGCTTGCAGGGAGAGATGGCCCGTTGCTATCGATATATGAAGTGCACATGCCATAAAGTCTAAAACAATATTGGCATGTGCTGATCTCCTGTGAACAGTCTTTGATTTACAGCTGTCAGAGATGAGAGCTGTGGGGCTCGCTGGGGGAATCGACCCCTAGCAGAAATGYTTAAAATACTTGGAGTTTAGCCAAGAGGCTAAGAACAGAGTGGTCTGTATCTKCCTTTCTCTCTGCTGTGATCTCCTCCCATACAACCCCAAAAGCTATGCAAGACACAGAGATGACAAGAAACAGCCCTGACAGCTCTGTCCCCAAGACATCAAAAGCCATTAAAGATCCTCAGTCTGCCCCACAAGTACAGGGATAATAAAATTTGCTGCTTTTCCAATTTTTGCATCACCATTTGAACCTATGCCCTGGCAGTGCCTCTTGGTTGGACCTGTGGCATGAAGRAGCCCCCTTGATAAAAGCTCCCCCRCCTCAGTTCCTCAAGGCTAAAGTTTTGCCACAAGTTATAGCAGGGTGACAGAAGAGTTATAAAARCTACAGGAATACAAAATTCTCTCTTCTGTTCAATGAAGGTAGAAATAAAACATATGTGCACATTTCCAGGACAGAGCATTTTCCACCACCAGTTGTGTCTCGTATAAATGAGCTGTGCATCAGCATTTGTTGCAATTTTTCAAGCCTATCAGTCAGCAGGGCAGACCTTTATTTTGAGATGACTGTGTCGTCCCCACGATCCAACTGGCCTGTAGGAGCRGAATATTAACACCAAACATCACTTTAAAAGCAAATGGCATCCTTTGATGTTTAAATATAAAAAAAGGACAGCCTGTGTTTATGAGGGCAGCACCAAATCTCAGGGGATTACTCACCATGGCAATTTTTTGAGGATATTAAGACACTCTCACAGATTTTATCCATAGGCTGCCAGMCCAGGGGGATCCCTGGGGTTGCCTGAATGTGATCTCCCATCAGTGACCATCGAAGGTCTTGGAGCCCTTCAAGTCCTCATCAAAGACTGAGACTCCACTTCTCACTGCCAAGCAGACGGGGCCATTGATCCTGGTTTGAAAAGGCACTSTCAAAAGATGGAGCAATTAACAGGAAGAATTTGAAGTCGTGAGAAAAGACAAATAGTGAATTTACTCAACATTTTAATATCACTTGTTATTTTCAGATGTAGGATTTCTGTGCCAGATGCACCAAGTGGACACCTGGCACTCTGATGTACTCAGGCTGTGATTCCAGCCTTTTGCTGTGCATCCCACCACGTTTGAGTGTCTGTAAACCTGTGTCAGCAGTGGTGGGACAGCTCTGCAATACACTCCTGGAAAACATTCCCCTTACAATGCTGACCTGCTTTTCATTCTGTTCCTCCTGTTGTTGCCAGTGCGGGAGTGGATCTGTTCCTACAGAAAGGGCTGTTCTCCATGAGCTGCCCTTGTCCATGCACAGACCAAAGATGCTCCTTTCCAAAGACAAACAGGAACTGGAGAAAGCAATAAGCTAAAAATCAATAAAAAWTAATTTATGATAATACTTAAAATGCGTGTTTCTCACTATTTTGTAAGGATCCCGCCTGACACCAGCATGAGGGCAATTGCTCAGGAGCACAGACAGGCAGGGATAAGAAAGGAAACAGCTGTGATCCCTTTTTGGAACGTTTGCTTTTATTCATCCCCTTAGATGTATCCCAATGTAAATAACTTTTCAGATCACTTTACAAAGGGTTTGCTAAGTGGGACTGGGGAGAAGGYATTCTGTAATGTAATAATTTCTGTCTTTTCTCTTCATTTTCCTGCTTGGTCATAGAGAGGAAATCTGGCTGGTTGTTRATTTGAAAGCATTTATAGTGGTGATGGCATAATAAGTATGAAAGTTCACAGGACTCTGACAACTGCCAGTGTATTGAGGCTTTCAGAAGAAAAAATGAAAAGCTGCCTGTAAAAGATTCCCATTTGTCATGGAAACCCCACAATAGCCCAGGACAGCTGCTTGCCTGGGATCTGTACCTCATATGTAAGGAACCAGAACAGACATGTGCTCTATTGTACAGAAAGTACATCCCCACAGAGACAGGTAAATCATTCTTTATAAGGGAAAACGATCATCTAGAATTAACGTTTTCTGTAAAAGATGATTTTCAGGGTTTGCTYGCTATCCAAAATAATCAAAAACACAGTTCAAAATGCATAAATCATGGTCTTTTGCATTCTAATGCCCTAGTAACCTCCTCTRGAGATGGATTTGGTGCTGCTACAATTGTGGCTGGAGAGCTCATGGGGTCTGGTTTGGCAAGAATCTCTCCTGTTGTTGAGCACAAAGGTGAAACAGGTGGCAAAAGTTTCCTGGGAGATGTTTGGTCTGTAACCTTTACTCCTCTCAAGCCATTCTGCTTTACCTCGTCCATATCAAATAATTTGGTGAGGTTTCATTTGAAAATTAGAATTAAAAAAAACCAGTCTAGGGCTGAAGCTTTACCAAGCAGCTGGGAATTAGGAAAGGCTAAGTAGTGATGCAAATGTAACACAAATTTCCTGCAAAGGGTGAGCTTCTGGAAAATTTCCCCCTGATTGTTTTGGGGTGCTTTTATTTTTTACGGGATATCTCTGCAAGGGTTACAAACACATCATTGGATGACAGTGTGACCAGGATGCTGGGGAGACTGCCACAAAAGGTCCCTCAACAAATTAGGGGTTTTGCCATGAAGTTCAGGGAAGAGAAATAATCCGCCCCAAGCTCCCCATGAGCCTCCTTGTTGGTATATTTTTAGAAATGGCTCTTTTTCATTCACTCTGTGTCAGGAAATTCTGTACTGAGCTTCCCACTGTGCCACGCTGCGCCGGCAACGTCACAAGGGCAAAGCACATTTGCGTGGAAGAGTTTATCTAACATTAATTTCCTTAACTTTGGCAAATTGAAAGATTTCCTCCCATCCTTTCTTCTCCTCTCCACTTTTTAGTTATTGCTTCAAATAACCAAACCAAGGAAGACAGAAAACCTCGTAGAACAGGGGTGACAAGATCATGAAAATAAAAGGGCAAGATTAACCCAGTTGTAGGTTCAGTGTGTGCAGACATAGGAAAGTGAAAGAATACTGAAGGAAGCTTTCAAAACCTTGTTTCTTTGCCAGAGCTCAATCTCCAGACACTAATTTAGCTGTGCTAGTAATGCATTTAAATGTGTTCCTCTGTTAAGCAAKATATTCCCTGCAGAGCGGCTCTGGAGCAGCTGTTAGCTGCAGGCTTTCCGCAGCCTGAGGTCTCTGGGTCAGGAGCGCTCATCTTCCAGCGGCACAGCCCCTGCGCTGCCCCGCACAGCCGCGGTATCCAGCAAAGGTGAGCTGCGGGTTTCAAAGCGCTGCAGCTCAGCTGAGGGCAGCTCGAGTGTTTGCTGCTCTTCCAGAGGGGGACAGTGTGTCTGGAGACTCAGCACTGTCTGTCCCTTGTCACACTTGTGCTGGGAGGAGCGGTGCCTGGCTGCTGCACGCTCACTGCAGGTCACATAGGCTGCTGCTCCCATGCATTCAAACACAGACACTTCATTTTCTTTAAGCTGGTCTTCCTTTTCCAATGCCTTCAGGCTCGCAGAGCGCCCACAGCCAGCTGAGACACYGGGGCTGAGGGAGAACAACCTTGACTTTGTTGCTGCTAAAGACAGAGATTATATTTAATGTAAAAGTTATTGTCTTGGGCAGCCTTCATCTCACCAGTGCACAATTCCAGAATGCTTTAAATTAAGTCTGGAGGCTAAAAGTGTGTTAGTCATTGCCCATACATCTTGGGGGAAGCAGGGCTCTCTAAAGTTATTGTTAGCATTAGGCATCTGGTTTATGTTTATAATGATTTATTCAGCAATGGGAGACAGGTAAGGAACCATCATGGAAGACAAACTAGAAAAGACTGGGTTTTTCAAAGCTCTGAAGCCATTGTTAAATCAAAGTTGTCTGACTTCAAAAGGAATATATAACTCGATTAGATTCTTTAAACAATGTACAATGCTCACAAAGTTGGCAGCTATTATTAGAGGCAGAGTTGGTAGCACAGCCTGCTCTGGAGGTTCATGTCCCTTCTAAGTACAAGATCCTGTTCTTATGTCATGACTCTGGCTTTTATTTTTTTTTTAGAAAAAAGAACCATTTCAGCCAAGCACTTCAGCTGCCTGTAAGAGCCAGGGCAGAGAAGAATACTTTTTTTTTTAGTGTTAGAATAATTCAGGAAATCCTTTCTTTGGAAAGATCTAATGCTTCCATACTTTGAAAAAGGGACTTGAAATCCAATGTGGGAAGATAGGCTTTGTGCTAAAAAGGGCMTGTTGCCATTGCCATGAGGGTCTGGCCGTAGCTTTCTCAGTTTTATGAGACTCTGAAGAAGTCTCATTTGTGTCTGTGCAGAAGGGCTTTGTAAGGGCTTAGCTAAGATTAGAGAAGAGTCTTTACTCGTGTCTCCTCATGCCTGGCCCTCTCTGGGCTGTACCAGTGGTGGAATTTTCTGGCAGGGACCAGCTGGTGCTGACATGCTGGAGCAGGGATGGGGACTGAGCCTGGAAGCAGGAGCTGGTGGGACGGGGCAGGTTGGGGAGGACAGGCTGAGGGCTGATGGTTCTGTGTGTGTGTGATCCCCTGTCCCAGCCTGAGGGGCATCCCCTTCCTCTCCTGCCACAAGAGATGCTCACCAGCARTAGCCCTCATTCCCTCCAGGCACGGATCAGGCACAGAATGCACCGCTGGCTGCAGCTGCCCCAGGTTGGGGAGCTCCCACAAGGGCAGGAGGGCAACCCAGGCCCTCCTGGGATGTAGGGGAAAGCCTGGAGTGCCAGCTGCCAGAGCAGGCTGGACATTTCCACTTTTCCTACTGTTTCCCTGCAGGATGACAAACAGATCTATGCAACCATACCTGCATGAGGATGTTGGATTTACTTCCCGTTGTTTTTCTTTTCTCTGAAACATCCCTTGACTCAAGAGATGACCCACCTTGGGTTTGCCACCCTGCCAAGGAAAAATTCAATATTGTTGTGGATTTGGGGGAAAAACGCTGCTCATGGAGAACTTACCAGGGCTCTGCTATAAATTCAGCACTCCTGTTCCACCAGGTTCAGCCAGTCCTGGGCAATGTCACTTGTCAAGCCTGCAGATGAAAATAAACAACCCATGTTTTTCATGGTTGCCCTTCACCTGAGGCGAACCCTGCTCTCACTGTCCRTCGCATTGCTCTTKGTCCTGGGCTGGGGAAGAGCTCAGYACACCCTGAATGGCTCTGARTGACATCCAYGTGGTGTCACACACACGGTGTGAAGACCAAACCAACACTCAGCATGGGGAGCTCATGGAGCTGCTAGAAGAAAGCCAACATCCCACTCCTGCTCGAGTTAGGAAAATGTCCCAGCACTGGATCCACCCAGCTCAGCTAGAGCAGGGCTGCTTGGCCAGACGACAGGCCTGGCTCTCTCTCCAAAGTGGACGAATGCCAAAGGGGATTTTTAATTTCCAGATGCTTTTAAAATAAAAATAAAGCCTCTGCTGTAAACTGACTTTGAATGGACACCTCCCCTTCAGCCAAATAGCTGACTGATATGGGTGAGCTGACTGGGCAATAAAACCTTTCACTGCAATCTGATGCATGGTGAGCACTGGCCAGCCCTGTGC